AGGTGGACACAAGCCAGTGTTGCAGGACTGTGCAGGCCACTGGAGGCAGCTTGGACTTTCTCTCCTTGCAGTAGAAAGACGCTGGCGGTCCGTAGGTGCTTGGACACAGTAGTCTTAGGGAGGGATGATGATTCTGTGAACTTACGGCAGTAGCAGGAATGACCTGACTCCCCATGCCTTTTGGAGGTGGCGAGCACAGATCACAGAGCGATTTCGTGACCAACCTGCAGTCACCATTACAAAGTTCCAGAACCTACATTCACACCGACACCTTCAGACTCTAGTCTAGGGCTTGCACCATTGCAAAGCCTGAGCCGGCTCATGATTAATTGACTTAGGCAGCCACTTATGTCTGAGTAACCACAGATAACCTTCAATCTGGCTGCTGTCTGAAATGCTGAAACCCAATTCGGCAGATTGCCCTGAGAAGTAGGCCTCCCTGGGGGAACAGCTCAACTCTGTCAAACAGGTGGCTGACCTTTCATTCTGTCGCACTTGTTGGAATGTGACTCAGGTGGTCTCAGGTGCCTCCCCCTCCCCACCATCCTACTGTGATATGAAATCACCTGCTGTATCCAGCTCTCAGGACCCAGGGACCATCCCTACGCCCCTCATCTCCTCATTTTTCCCAGCGCAGTGCCCGGCACTTCCTAACAGCTCAGTGTATGCATGGGGTTAACCAGTGACGCACTGAGCTCTGCAGGTCTGCCTCCCCTGACTGATGCTGGGTGCGATTTGCTGTAGATCGTTTTCCTTCCAGGTCTCCGTTTCCCTGGGCATGCTACTGGGAGGGACTTTGAAATGGTCGTGTTCGATGTGAAAGGAAGTTGACACTCCACAAAAAAGAGTGATCTGATGTGACCTCCTCGCAGTCACATGGTGGAAGTTCACTCCTTTCAGCTGCAGGCCCTGCCCTGCCCTCTCTCAGTGCAAACAAACAAAACCGACTCACTGCCATCGAGGCACTGCCGACTCCTGGGGACCCTGTCGGGCAGGCTCGAACTGCCCTTGTGGGTTGCCCACACTGTACCCCTCTATGGGAATAAGCAGCCTCCTGCGTCCGTCTCCTGTGGAGCAGGCGGAGGGCCACCAGTCTGACGTGGAACCACGGCACCAGCTCCCAGGGCTCCCAGTGCAGGTGATGCCAAGTAGAAGGTAGACAGAAGTGTCAAAAGCTCAGGCTTTCAGCCCCCGCTCAGCGTTGGTTTCACTTTGAGCACACGCTGGTTCATATCTCACTTATGCTATTGTTTTGTTTCTCCAAACCCAGCACAGCATTAGCACGATGCAGAGGCTTGGTGTCTGTGTTTGTAAAGCCAGGATTACAGCACGAGGTCTGGCTGGTCAGTGACCATGTGGGCACGTGGACTTCTTTTAAGCCCCATTCAGACCATGCTGATCTGATTCCCTGCTGCAACGCAGGCAGCAGAGTCCACTTCGGCTGTGCGCCAAAACGCATTGCCCCAGCCCTGCCTGGGACTTAGCAGCACCTGCCACATCCTCTGAGCTTCCCTTGTTGACTCACTCTCCCATGTTCCACACTCTATTTCATCCTTCCCTGTTCCCTTCCATCCCTGTCTCCGGAGACAGCCTTTGGGCAGCAGCGGGACTCCGACCCTTCGGACCACCACAGCTGCAGACTAGTCATAGCCCAGGATCCCGCTACTTCATGTCACACTCGGCTACTCCATGTCTTCCTCTCTTCTCTGGAGCTGGTGAAATCTCCACCTGAGCTCTGGATCCCTTCCGGCCCAGCGACCTTCTTAAGGGCCTTGCTCCCTAATGCAGCTCCTGCTCTACCGGTTCCTTCCCCTGGTCCCTTCCATCGATTTGAATCACTCATTTCTGAAGAAACAAGCAAAGCTCTCCTTTGATGCCGCCTCCATCACCCACCACCGCCAGGCTTCCTAGAAGAATGTCTGCACTCCCTGCCAACCGATCCTCACCTTCTGTTCACTTTCACTGTTCCGGCCCATCTGGCGTGCACTCCCGCCCGCTTCTGAATCGGCTCTGCCGGTGTCCGCTGACTCTTGCATTACGAAATCCAGGACAAGTTGTTGTTTTCACCTCCCCTCCTGCACTGTTTGACTCACCACTTCTCCCTCACTGAGAATCCACCGCACAATCTCAGGATTTCTCCCTACCCTTCTGGCCTGTCTGCTTCCTGCGGGGGCTCATCTGCCTCCGCCCTCTCCTCCCACCAGCAGCTTTCCTCCACTCACTCCACCAGGCTTTGCTCAGCCAACAACCTACTTACATTGGGTCCCTTGCCATAGTTGGGCCGCCTGCCCTGAGTTGAAATTCACACCCCTCACCTGGTTCGTGCCTGGTGATCTGGCCTCTGACCTCACTGCGCTCTCACCACAGAGGCCTCCTTTCAGGTCCTTTCTGTTGCCACCACACCTGTGCCTTCCTCCTGGTCTGCATCGGCCTCCCCCACTCCACCTCACCCCCACACCCGCCCCAGTGTTCAGAGAGACCTCCTGAAGTGCCTAATCTGACGTGGCCACTCTCTAAC